TGTAGGCGTTTCTGTATATCTGTGCTCAGTTTTTTTACATCATACTGTAGATACTTATTATACCCTACCTTCTTTTACTGTTGAATCGAATATACCACAGATATGATCATATGCTAAAGAGAGTTGTATTTTATTTTGTAGAAACCAGGACTGTGGAGTCTGAGTCAGAAGCAATTTTAGGTGGAGTCTGAGTCAGTAAAAATGTACCGACTCCGATATAAAATCTTAAGAAAATACCGTTTTAACACTTTCGCTACCATGTCAGCCACCGCCGGCCTCACACTTGGGAAGATTCAATGGCACGTTGAGCCCCATGGTGCGGGAATAATGCTTTGTAACTTTGGCTCTTTTACCTAAAGAATACAAACTGTCTACAAATCAATCAATTTCTGCAATAACCATTAGACTTATATTTGAATATAGGTTATAAGTCTAAAAAGTAGCCTGATGATTCACGTGGTGATGATGAAATCTCTTGTGGTACCATTTACCATTTTAGTAGCTTTACCATTTTTAATACATACTGAGCTTTTATGAAGGAGTCAGAGGTTTTAGTACCGACTCCACAGCCTGGTAGAAACTGCTACAAAATATGTTTTAATTTATTTACAAGATGTACTTAATTTTTGCTGCTGTATTTAGTTAACTGTGTGGTGACGCTTTTGTGTAAGTGTGCAGGTATAAGGGCCAAGTCCATTGGAAACTATGAGTAGGCTCAATGATGTATTTACTTATAATGTAGGTGCTACAGCTGTCTTCTAACTCCTGCAGTTTTAACCCCTGGGGAAAGAGGCCCTGGTACACACACTGAATAGGTTGGTTGGTGGACATCATAGTTAATCTGGACTTAATGGTCAAGAGGAAAATTTATACCCCTGCCAGGAATTGAACCCCCAGCGATCCAATCCCTAACCTGTCACTATACTGATTGATATGTGCTATCTGTGTACAGTAAACAAAATTGAAATGAAATATAAATGAATCTTGAATTAACCAAGGCTTGAAAATTAACATTGTTCTATTCAATAACAGGTGAGTGTATCAAGTCCAGCAAAATATACATTGGGACGTTTTGTTTCGGAAGATAGTTTCTCGGTACCAGCAAGGAATTTGTTGTTGCAAAACGGTGATAAATCTAAACTGGCACCTACACCAAGTGAAGATGAACTGATGGCAAACTTGGAGTGGGATGAAGAGGACCTGATAAAGTATCCTGAAAGTGAAGATGGTGGTATTACAATGGTTGTTGAAAACACTCTTGAAATGGACCTGGAGGCAGAGTTGGGTCCCATTATTTGCGACATGTTCGATGGTCCACAGAGCATGACCTCAAGCCGCAGTTTCACAGCCAGTCCCAACACTGAAAGGTGTGTGAATAATAATTTAAGAGTTATTCAGGATCACATATATTTGATTTATAATTTACCATTCATATTATAAAGCTAACGCCGTTACAACTTTTGTTGTTAGTGAATTCTGGACTTTGTCCATCATCTGGTATTCTGAATAGAGTACAACATTTTGGAAACTGGATGTTTCCTTCCTCAGGTAAGAACGGTGGTGTAGCATGACTTTTTCGAGTGTTGCGAAAATCCCCAAGCAGAGAGGGTGTTTTCATGAAAATTTTATTGGTTGAATATTATATACATAATAAAAATACAGCTGTGCAGATTTTAGTTAGAAATTAATATAGTTAAGGAATGAAAGATGAAGGGAATATAAATTAAGGAAAATGATTAGCTTACCTTTCTTTATTACACTTCCATCCCATGCAGCATCCCCCCCCTCCAAGAATATAAGTTCCAAAGTTTGAGCTTTTTTCAAAACCTTGTAGTCTGTACCAAGTGTTAGAAAAGTGACAACCAATTCTTTTATTGTTTTGTCATTTTTGTGAAAAAGGGGTTGGCCTGCCTTTGTCAGTTGTTTCCCTGTTTGAAGTGGGATACATAAAAAAAATGACTGATTCTTCATCTTCCATGATTCACAACACACTCATACAACAGATGTTACATAATTAATATTCTGAGAATCACATTGCAGTACGCTACATCAAAAACCAGAACACATGCAAGTAGTGTGTTAGCAGTTGAGGTTTGGCTAACAACTTGAGGGACTAACATGATGAAGTGTTAGGTTACAATTTCTTCTTTCCATATGCAGGTATTCTAAACTGGAAAGCAGTAGTGGTTTCGAAAGTGGCAGTAAAATGTTGGACTCATGCACATCACAAATGGCAAATGATTTGGAGATGAAAGCCTGGCGATGCTGGAGTTCAGAAGAATCGGGTTGTGTGGATTGGGATGCAACAATGACAGCTGTTACTGTACGTGGAGAAAGTGGTCAGAATTTTACTGAACAGTGAGTTCTGTTATTGCATATTTTTAAGAGAAATATAATAAATAAAAATTAAAGGTTTATTTTAAACCTCGTGGAAGAGTACAGTGCAGCAGATATTTTACTACATCCCAAACCAGAAGCACTGTAAAGGTGAAAGCTATATTTTGGTTGGTTGGTCATGTTCCCTCATGGACCATTTGGCATGGTGGGGTACTGGCATTGATATGAAGATTATGTTTGCAAGAAGAAAGGAGTAACAAGGAGCGGGAAATCTGCGGGAAATGACTGCTGAGTTCCGTAATTGTGAAGCGACGATTATCCATAATGCGTTCCCGCACAAGCTCCACAAGGTCGTCTGTAATGATGGATGGCCTCCCACTGCGCTTCTCATCATGCACACTTTGTCGACCTGCTGAAAATTGTCTGCACCAGCGACGCACCATCTGCTTGCTCATGACGTTAGGCCCATAGACCCGGCACAGCTGACGATGAATTTCGATCGGCGCTATGCTCTGTGCATTCAAAAACTTTATCACTGACCGCACTTCACAGTCGGCGGGAGCTGGAATAAGAACCTCCATCTTCAACAGCTGCAATGATGCTACTGTGAGAACGCGGGAAGTACCGTTAGTGCATGCGCCATGCTACGTCATTGCTCTATCACGTACGCACAGTCGCTTCGCGCAATATAAGGTTTGCTAGCTGTGGGACGAGTGGGAAACTTACTTTGTGGACGCGCCTCGTATTATGCATGTGTTGTTTATAGGAACAGTTGTATTACATTTTTCTTTCAGTTTGCCTGCAGGCAAATGGTGTGACAGTAGGATCTTACAGGGAACAATAATTTACCTCCTTTCCAGTCCTTTCTGTCCTAACTGCTTTAATAGATATTGAGAAACATACTGCCTTCATCTTCAGGGTTAAGTTAGGAGACTTAGGAAGTGGCTGATTTATGTAGGGTAGTGAGGAGGACAGACCAAGACAAGTGTGCTTTTAGTGTGTCTATAATGTTGGCTTTTTACTGGCATATATGCACATCCTTAAGGCTGGATTCAGGAATTTTTTTTGAATTTTTTAAGTAAATTAATTTCCATGTCTGGATTACATGAATTAGAGGAAGGAATAATTTTCCAGGTGTTGGAATGAAGCAGCTGTGACAACCCAGAGCAGCAGCAGCAGCCCAAGCGAACTGTCGACACCAGGCAGTGAAAATCCTCAGTCAGTTTCCGCGTCGGTACCCTCTGAATTAGAGAATGTTGGTCCGAAAGTGAATGTGTTGCAATATGCTATTCAGGAATGGCAGGGAAACACGAGGAAAGCAGAAACAATATTGCAGGTAATATTAAACAGCAAGATTTTAAGTAATTATTGCAGTCCAAAGTGCGGTAAAAATTCTTATATGAAAATATGATAGATTTTGATGACTCATGTCATTATAAACCTTCAGCCTTCTAACTCCACGAAGCAGAATTTTTCTTGTAAAGTTAATCAAAAAATTCCCGGGCTTTTACGAAAACCAGAACTTTGATGCAATGTTCACAAGAACCAGTGACTTATCCCTAATATTTGAACTTCAGCACATTTCCATTGAATTTGTTAGCTATCCATATGCAGGTAAACCTCAATTTCCGCCGATTCAGAATAACGCCACTTTTGAAACCAGCTAGTCAAAAAGTGAAAAACAATATATAATATATATTTATAATGTTTTGCAGTGTTTCTCGTTCTGATTTTTATACCAAATCGTAATTCTTACATCACTGATTTTGAATAAAAATTATAAATACAGTCACCTCTGCACTCATTGCTAAGTAGTTGCAAGATGATCTCCTAAAAATCCGCCAACATTGCACAACAGTCACGTGAGCACTGGTCACTCTTCACGGTGAGTCATTTGTGTTCAGCCTGATAAGTGAGTAAGGAAAAATGTGCTCAGTTCGCTTCTTGTTGACACATTGAATGTGCTGAAAACTGTGTGCTAAACATGTTTGTGTTGTTGTTCAACCACTGTTCTGCAGTAGCAACTGTTTTATATTTATAAATTGTAGAAGAGCCACCATGTCTGGTAAGAGAAGTGAATGTGTTGCTAAAAAGTTGTGTAGGTGTATTGCGTTAGAAGATAAGATGGACGTAATTCATAGAATAGAAGGTGGTGATACCCGTCGTAATGTGTGCAGAAGTACGAAGTTGTCTCCTTCCACTGTGACTACCATAAGTAAGTGCAACGCAAGTGAGTTATAGCAGAAGTAAATTTTCAGAAATAATGGAGAAATTACTGTTGCTATGGGTGGATGACATGAATTGAAAAAACATTCCCTTGACTGAAATTGCTCTCACGGATAAGGCGAAGTCAATTTTTGAGGAACTTAAGTCGTCAATGTTTGGGTGCCGGGAACGCATGTCATTGACTTCCCATTGATTTACATTATAAAAAGAGTTTCAATTTACGCTGGTTCGTCCAGGAACGTATCCCCGGCGTAAATCAAGGTTTACCTGTATGATGATTTTGCCTTGTGGTTTGGTAACAGAATATGTGCATATACTTCGTTTTCTCTGTGTTTACTTCTAAAAAAATGTTTGTACTGCCATCTAGTAGAGCCTTGCAACCATCATGACTTTTAATTCCCTTGCCATCGATGAAATGTAGGGGCCCTGTAACATTTGTTAATGTGTATTTTTAATAATGTGAATTAAGATGGAAGTGTAACAAAAATGAAGTACAGAAAATTTTCTAAGTCCAAAACCAAAACTGATGTGAGTGTACATAATTCCAGTCATTCAGAATGTCGGATTTTTCCACATGTGACTTTTCCACACTTTTTATTAATTGAAATTATTTATGACAAGATGTCTGTTAAGCAAAGACATCAATATGTATACCTGATTTGAAGGAAAGCACGAATTAATGCAATTGGCTTTTCCGATGTACGCGACTAGGTTCAACAGAGAAACGAAAGTGAAAACAGTACATTGCTTTGACGTCTGTAGTCGCTGGTAGCCCATTTGGTAGAATTTATGTAAAGATCACACATGTACATTGGAGTCCCAAGGTTTTTTTAATGCATATGTTGTAGCCACACCAATAATAATTTAAACTCTGCAGTTATATATTATTCGTTCAACTGTATGTTTCAAAACTTCCATGTGGAACTCATGCCGATAATTTTTTGAAGTGTATACCGAAATATGTAGATAGCGATATTCAAAAAAGAGAAGATGTAATTGTTATTTGTGTGTAAAGCATACACAGTCCAGTAATTTTGTTAACAAACAGAAAGTAATCGTCATTATTATCATTCATATTATCACTGTATTATTTGTGCTGCATTGGCGAGGCTAGAAGTGCAAGGGAAGCAGGTATTTAATTTATTTTTTCGTGATTTGTTGTTCGTTGTCATACTCGTAGGTATTCACGGCGGTGAGTCTGAAGATGGCTATCTTCTGGGTTGTTACGCCGTTCAGTATGATAGAAGTTTACTGACATTTCAGAGTTCTTTGATTGCCCTGATGATGAAGGTAGCAAGGACCTCTTCAATACTGGCATACTTCACCAGACTACACGGCCCTACAACCCAGAAGACAGCCATCTTAATTGTCATTCTTATTCGAAAGTTCCGTGTTCAAATCTGACAGTAGACAAACAATTTTATTTGCAAAAAACATATACTTTAGAAGTATTTCTGTTACATGAAACATACCATTTACTTATACAAGATATCAGTTAGTAGGTTAATCGTTAAAAGGGTTGTTTTCCATACCAGGCATCTTTAATGAGGTGTCCAGAATCCCTGGGCTTCAACCACAGATATCATTCGTCTCAGTATGGTCTCGGAGAATTGGGAATCGGTTCTGTTTCCATGTTAGATGACTGCTTTTGATAAAAATCTGTCATATATTGACAAGCAATCACCTGGAGATGACAGTAAAGCCGACTCAAGCAATGTATATGTCAGATATATCTCAAACAATTGACAGTGTCCGAGATAGTATTCCTATAATATGTCATTGTCACTAGTCTTTAGAGACTCATCATTGAATGTTATTGCATGAAATATCTATGTAAAATTTATACGAGATAATAAACTTAAATTATTTTATGAAATTGTATATGACGAACATTGTATGCACATAAATATTTTGTAAATGAAGTCACAGTTTTGAAATGAAATGAATTATCTTTCAGTATTCTTGATCAAGCTATTCTCTTTCTTAACTGTTCAACTTCTGTGATCTCAGTTTGTTCTAATGTACTGTCCCACAGATAAACCTAGTTGAAATTAGTTTTATAATATTTATTTTGGGGGTAAAGTTTCAGTTTGGTATTAAACTCTGGTTATAAAGTTATGATGCATTTTTCAAATTTATATGCAATGTTCCTCAACTCTTATATAAGAACTGCTTCATATCAACTCCTGTGTCATACTTATATCTTACAAATTCTTTTGGCATGTCATTGACTGGAAATCCATACTAAATGCTACAGATTCTTTCAAACGTATGATTAAATTACCTAGATTGATTGTCATATCAATAAATTATTTTGTTCATGGTTGTGAATTTATATTCCAAAGGGATTCAGAATGTGATGGGAGAGCATAATATAAGATACTGTCATTCTTTTTTGCATCATTCTCGTCTTCACATAATGTCTGATTTTCATTTTATGGTGATAATACTACTTTTATGTATATAACTTCAGTTTACCAGTGTTTTCTTAATTTTATATTTCAAAATATTAAAATATAAGTATAATTATATAGCTCGTTCATGTTAGATCTCTGTTATATGTTGTTGAAAGACTCACATTTGTGTTTTTGTTGAGACTTGCCTCAAACATTCAGACTTGACATGTGATAAATGTCAGCTTTGTAAATTACCTCTTTTCAAAGACATTACACCAGAAAAATAAGATGTCTTCAGTTATTAAATGTAGATTAACACAAGAAACAACATTTGTTGTTTGTGTATAATATAGGGCTATTCAGAGATTCCTTCACTGTTGGGTCTGCAACATTTACGCCGGATCCGAGGGGACAACTACTGCGGTGTACGTGCTGCCATCTTCCAGATCTTAGCTCAGGGACTTCATGTTCCTAGTGGTGAAAGAACTTTCCAGTATCTGTCCCAAGCCCTTAGCAATGAGGGCTGTAGGTGGTTGCAAGACTGGACGTTTGCTGGTCGCCTGCCGTACCAAGGCAACAACGTACTGCATGGCATGAAATGTTGTCTTCGCAACTTGGACAATGTGGTAAGAATCCACCAGAGTTATGAAAAGCTGAATGCTGTCTGATTGTGTAACATTTTATATCTATAACATCATTTGTACAGGCTTCTCTCTTGTCGTCGACAAACGGAGAACAAGAAGAAACGTTGGCTGCATTGCTCAATTCTGATCCTATGCTAGATCTGCATGTCATGGAGGCTGTGAAACTTCACATGCTGCATTGTGCTATGGAACTTCATAAAGAGAACAGTAGTGGATCTGACAATGTGCCTCTCTTTGCAATACTCATGTTTGCGCGAGATACTTCCGAGACACCTAAAGATCTCATGAACAACCATCTCCGTGAGGTTGGAAATTCTGGTGGTTTGGAGCAGGTAAGATTCTGTTTTCTATTATTTATTCGTTTATAGTTTATTTAACGATGACTTTTCAGTAGCTCAGACTATATAGCATGAACTGAGTGGATGGTAGTGAAAAATAAATTGATGTGGATGGAAGTGGTCACGTCCAAATTTAATATGTAATCCCGACATTTACCTGGAAGGACTGAGGAAAACTACGAAATGCCTCAGTCAGGATAGCTGGTCTCTGGGCCAAGATTTGAATACGATGCAGTACTGCCAACTACCCAGCCACAACATTTGGTTTTGCTCCTTGGAGTTACTTAAGTCCATAATAAACAGATTGATGCTAGGAATTGTCCTGTATTCTAATGAAAGTGAGTAGTGTACTGAGCCAGCATGTCATAGTAAGGGAAGTAACTATTAAGTTTTACTTTTGTAAGTATCATTGTTTGTGCTTGTAATAAAATGCCATGTATTTACAGGTCTAGATGTTAAATTTTATTTGTCATTCATGAGTATTAATTTGATAGCTGCAATTCTGTGTATCTGTAATAACCTTTGGGTATTATTTCTTTTTTCCATTTGCAATAAACCAATGTATAGGATTGGGAAAAAGTGAGTTTTAATATACATTATGCTTAGGTTGGTGCATAGAATAGGCTAATCTTTGCATGTTTGTTGCATTTAAACAGTTTTAATTGTTAAATGATTTCATTTGCTTGCATCACAGCATGAACCCACTCCTTTTGTATTTACTTACATAGTAGACATATATATAGTTTTTATAAAATTTGAAGTAGATGTTTTGAAGTTTTGTTGTTGCTCAGTTGAATTTTGTAATCATTTTTTAATTTATGTTCTTTCCATTTTGAATACATGGGAAGCTTATGGAATTGTGCTAGAATCATAAAAGAGTTACAAGACTTTTAATGTCCTTCATGACCCTTATGGGAAAATGTGACTTAAAATGCTGGTTAGAAAACTTTCAGTATTTCTACACAATGTTTTAATACTACTAGCTTTTAAGGTCTTCAGTTCTCACTTAAATGCCCAAATAATACGTTATATTTAATTATTTTACACAGTAGCAAGAGATTCTAGCAAAATATATGGTACCAGTAATATTTTTATTACTTTCACAAATTAAGTTTTTCATTACTGACACTGGAATTAGTAAATGATACCAGATTTATTTATTTATTTTGCAGTTTAATAGCTCAAACTATGTAGCATTTAATGGTAGGATGATAAACATGATGAATTGGAAGGGATATGAAAGGAAGCAGTTATTGTTTAATTTGAAATACTAACCCAACATTTACCTGGAGAGACTAAGGAAAACCACAAAAAAACCTATCAGGATGACAGGTCTGTAGGCAATGCCTAGCGTTACAGTGGTAAATTATTGAAACCAGTAGAGGTAAAAGCCAATGTATTTGCAGATAGAGATGTTTCTCCTGGGACACACACTGGGAGTGACACTACGAGTCATACGACCCGCGGCCTTTGGGACTGAGGAATTCATGTGCTCATACCCTGATTTGAATGAAGGGAACTGGCCTCAGGTTTTTCTTATCGCAGAAGATGATCGACACTACAACGTATTGGTTGACTGAAGCATTTCGTGTTGTCATTGAGTGCAATCACAAGAACTTACTTGAAAGCCAGACAACAGTATGCCAGATTGTCCCATGCTGGGAGCACAGGTAGCATTTAAACCATTCTAAAGAACTAATTGCGAATGTGTCTATTTGGTATTATGCTGGTTTCTAGATCACTTAATATTGCACATAATGTTGATGAGTACAGCCATTAAATTGTAGAAATCACTATATTATGTACAGTATTTTGTCAGTTACCAGACATCCTATGAACATAGGGTATGTTTGTTATGTAATGTAGTGCAACAGAAATTTTAATTCTGTAGTAGGTCAGCACTAAACATGGTGAGATTCAGATCTTGTGCCATATTGGAAGAATACATTCTGCGTTGAACAAATGGAATCCTGAGAACAACTCATGAGCGCTATGAGATATGCTTTAATTCCTCAAGCAATATGTTGTCACATTTTTATTGTGATAGAATTTCCTAATCGAACATTTGCTGCCAAATGCACCAATATTAATTTAGTGATTAATTTGTAGGCATCTGCTTGTATTAATATTTCAAGGCGATCAGGTTGATTCACTCTCAGTTACATTTGTCGTTTACATGATCTTGTTGCACTCAAACATATAAAACATTTTATAATTATGTACAGTATTTTACATAGATTTACAGTATTTATTTTCATTGGACAAGAGTATGTTTGTGTGATTTTAGCAGTGAGAATGAGATGGTTGTGTTTAAATTTTTCTCTTACCCCATTTGTTTCTCTACTTATATTTACTTAAGTAGCTTAACTGTAAGTATGTTGTATACAAGTATTTTATCTTTTTGGAAAAATTTTTAAGAATTTTTAATAAATATATTTTAGGTATCCAAAATTAATTGATTCATAGGGATGTATTTGTAAACAAGTTTTATGTTGTTTTAGTTCTTTCATATCAGCATTATTGTTGTTTTAGAAGGAATTGGCTCAACGGACTGCATCGCCTTATGGTTATCCAGAATTGTGCCTGTCTCTGTGTGTCACAACATTCAGTTGTTTGTAAACCATCTGGCGACTGCATTGTGCACCTCATCTGACCACCTCAATATCTATCTATATCATGACTTTCCTCATCCATCATTTTGTTATCACTGCTCGTAGGACATTCAAAAGTACAATTTTTATATCATGCAGAATAGCACAACTTCCACATCAAATTTCATCCAAATCATCCAGTGGTTCTTGAGTTTAGTCAACTATGTGGACATTACCGGCCCGTGTGGTCTCATTATACACTTCATGCAAAGAACATAATATAGAAGATCAAGCAAACTTCCAATTAAATTAGAACAAGCTAAGATTCAGAAATACAGTATGTGCCTGAAAGGCCACAACTCGGACTGGAATAATATTAAATTTTGTTAGTACTGCGTCTATAGAAGTTTCAATTCAGCATGCTGTCAGGATAGTCACATTGTATGTGCAAAGAATGCAAATGTGATCAAGATACAGAAATAAAATATGGATAACAGTATTCCTGTGCACAGATGATAAATTGGAATAGCATGGCATGTCATTACAAATTGCCGATGATAAAACCAAAATTGAAATCTCCCTCTTCTCCCTGGAGGTGTATACATGCACTGCCTTACCCATTTCTACAAAAATAAGGATTACCAAACAAGGGAGCAACTCTTTCAATACTTGAAACATCTTGGAAAACCTCTTAAGAGTCATGCTTTAACCAAAGGTTATGTCCCCAACAGCGTCACGATCCTGCCAACCCTCTTCACTCATTCCTGAAGACATGCATTACGCAATGGATAGACGTTGCAAAACGGCAGCTTAGCTTCGGGCCCTAATAGCTCACGTAGCTGTTATACCCCAGCCAACATGGCTGCCACAACTGTATCACATGGGTTTACCAGATCACATGCACTGCCCTTTACCAGCTTTCATGAAAAAATTCCATATTTTGCATTAACTTCCAGCACCCCTATGCATATGTCCCGCAACACATACTATTAAATTATGCATACCATAATTACCAGTAATGCTACCAAACAGTATTCGACATTAACATAATTTACAAACTTAGAACTACACTACGTAGTACATTTCTTTTCTTTTAATTGGTGCATGGAACAGATTTCATTTGCGTAATTTCATTTTTTTTAAATGACACTGAACACACTTCTATAATTTAAACAACATTTTATTGTAGTGTTAATAGCAACAAATTACTGTAAGTGCATGCATCTTATGATACTTTAGCTCCTAAACTAACAGGGAATTTTTACTTTGTTTCTTGATCCATATTTGTTTTAAAAGTCAAATTAAATGATATTCAGACAGCTTGCAGCAACTGATATTTAGGGCCATTAATCTGTTAGTAATTTAAATTAATTCTTACTGTTAATCAGTGAAGCTGCAAATTATTTGAATAACAGAAACATATTTTGACATTCAAAATAATATAATATTATTAAACAAATGACATATGACATTTGAAGTCTGAAGCTTTCAAATCATTTCTATAAATTGCAACAGAGCTGACATTAATATCAGACTTTAGGTTCAAATCCTAATTTTAATAAATGACAATAAGAAATAATCATATCACATAAACAGCAATATTAACAAATGAGTGTAATATTATAAACTGGGTTTTGAATCCATACTGTACTGATTAATGAAGGAACATATTGGCAAAGAATTAACTGTGATTGATTCATCAAGACATACCTAATGATACGATTAAAACAATGATGATTGTAATATTGATGAAAAACAGATTTTCCCATTGTGCAAGCTACCTTCTAGGATGTAATATTTGTCATCATGAATTATGAGGAATTATTGTTTTTGCTTCAAAGGGTAAGTTGTTGGCATTCTGATCATTTGTTTTACTTAGTGCCTGTCATGAAGTTACATATGTAAGAGCTTCAACATTTGAAGTATTTATCTCTTGTTCCTCTCCAAAAATATAATAGTGAAACTGTACAAACTGACTATAATAAAATATATACTTGTTTTGTGCATGAAACATAACATGCATGATGCAGAACATAATCTATTTTTAATGTAATGGAGTGAGTAAGAATATAATATTTGTACTTTTGCTCACAAAATATATATTGCGTGTACATACAGGATATTACGTTTGATTGCTTAATTGGTTCTGTGTTCTTACAGTTGTTATTAATATATTACTGTATTTTTGCACAAATTTATCGAAAAAACAGAAAGATCAGTGCTGATGACAAAGTGCAGAGATCAGTGAATGAACGTTTAAATTCTTCTGTTATCAAAACTTAGTTGAAAAATACATATAACCTGACTACTCAGAATTGGAAGTGTGTATAATGGCAGCAAATCCACCAGTGACAAGTGCATGACGAAATGATGCAACTAATGTGTGTTTGAATGATTCATAGTAGATTTACTTGCTTCCCAGTATTGTATACAAAATGTAACTTGAATGTAATGTGTATATGTTATCATAAAAGCCCGAATGTTGGTGAAACCTAGGATTTACCAGACAAACCTAGGTTTTACCAAACAGTGTAGGTAAAAGTCTGAAAAAAGAACTATTCACGTCTTATTTCGGGGTTTTACCATTCACTGTTGGTAAAACCCCATTTTTGGGGTTTAGAAACATACATTCCTTATCTTCGTTGCATTTTTAAAAAGTTAAACAGAAATAAAAATAATAGATAAAAACATTGCAAGAAATAGAAAAATTGTGAAATAAAAAATGAGACGTTTCAATCATCAAAGTATTTTTTTTTTTTTTTCACTGCTGTTTCAAGACTTACCTGTTGCAACAAGGTTAGCTATTATGACATTTGAAATTTCATAACACAACAGACAATTTTCACAAGCACTTTTTTGCTAACCTAACCTAACCTTTTTACTACCTGCTTATGGTAAATCCTAGCATTTACCAACACCCATTGGTATGACCCCAAAATAAGATTCGAATAGTTATTTTTTCGGCCTTTTACCAACAAAACCTAGGTTTGTCTGGTAAATCCTAGGTCTCACCAATATTCAGGCTTTTACAGTAACATATATACATTACAGTCTGTTGTTAGTAATATATTATCGAGTGCCTCCTGAAATGAAGATTTATGATATTTACCTATTTATGTGATAAGTGCAGTTTCCAAAGTATATGAAAATGATAAGGGAAAACTAGTGAGATTAACACGTGAAACTTGTTGTGCTTATCAGTTATTTTATTCAATTAATTTACTATTTACCCAGCAGTTACTGTGAACGGGTCATTCCATGTCAAATCAACAAATGCATGTTGCATCACTGTCTTGATGTGTGACTTAATATGAAGTATGCCAGTACTGAACTTCACAGTATTATAGGTTCTCAAGAAGTATATACATAAAAATGTCACGCGATATTTTTACACAGAAGTAATTCTGGAACCTTTTATTAGATTATTTTACCCTGAACTTGTAAATTTATGAGAATACTTTTAGGGCATATTTATTTGATTGCCATTGTTAGCCAGTTTTAGTATGTATTTTAGTTACCACAAAATTACATCATTTTCATAAGCTAGCAAAAATAGACATTTATGATATCGTATACCTCAGAATTTTTGTAAGATTCAACTATGAACCTGTTCAAGAGTACAATTAATTCTTCTCAGGCTACCAGCCATATCAGGTGTTTCTTGCGGTTAAACCACCTGACATGGCTGGTAGCCGAAGAAGAATTCATTATACTTAGTCCCTGTGAAAGCTTCAGGCAGTCCTCAGATAATTGAGGTGAAATAGGATATAATTCGGTTATAATGCAAAAAAGTCCTTTTACCTACCTCATTTAATTTGGTCTGTCAGCTTACACATGCTTGTTACTGCTACATGACAAGCATGTGTGAGCTGACATGTGGCTACTTACCAGTCATGAGAATTGCTCTATCTGTCACTGCCTACTCTTTGTATGCTACTATCATATATATATATCAAGCTCATTCTGAAATAATTCTTTTAGTATTTGTGCACCAACACATACATACAGTTTTCATTGCTTTACACACATATCAATTCCTCCACCCAAGAAAATTTATTTATTATATTACCACAGTTACTGTGTTGTTATTGATCTGTGACATAAACAGGGTGTCTGAAAAGTTGGAATCTATTTTAGGAAGCAATGATTGGTGGTCAGAACTTCGCACCCTGGCAACATTGTTGCCGGTGCCTGACATTTGGGGCCACAACCTGGAATCCTGCAAAACAAGGCTGATGTGTTCACGTTTTGTATTAGAGATACTTTTTTAGTATTTCAAAGTAGAGGTAGGAGTGCAATGCTAAATTTTGAGTGTATTATTTTCTGTACATCAATACATCTTTGGTATAAATAATACCTGGGTAGATGAGATATGAAAATGGACCATTTTCACTGTGTAATGAAACTGTATCTTATTTCACTTCAATTATATGTGAAGTGCCTGAACCTACAACTTAACAACAGCGCTCTTGAGAGTCAAAATGTGCATGTTCACTCCGAAGAGACTACTCGTCTTGCATACAGAGTTGTACAGAATTTGGTGATATTGAGTGTAACTATTTTTCTGATATTTTTTGAGGTGGAATGATCCTACAATTATTTATGTTCCAGATGTTTCTAGTGCCTTCATTTACAGACAGTCATTAATAAACATGTGTACTCCACATAAATCTTGGTATTTTAGTTTGTACCAGTGTATATCAAATCACATGCAGATATCATGCCAGTGGAGATGACTATAATCATCAGAAATATAACTGATTTAATTCTGGGAAGAAACATTTAACAAAATCAAATCAGTGTGGGGCAGAATAATTTCTTTAACTTGTAAATTGTACGTCACTGGATTGTAGCTCAGTACTGTAAGTTGTTTTGATACATACCCAGATTTATCAAATTGAGTTTTGGCCAAAGGAACCTTGCTATTTTGTACAGGTTTATATTTATGCTATTTCTTGATAATTCATGAGAAATTATTTTTCCCCTTTGCTAAATTCTTAAGTTATTAGAAGAGTGAACAGAGTTGTGTAAATGGAGTAGTGTGGACTTGTAGTTACAGTGAATGTAACAATAAAACTGTTTAAATAAGAGAACATATTACTTTTTTTAATTGTTATGAATGTAAATTATACATTACTAAAGTATATAACACTGTTTAAGGAACCAAGTCTTTCATAATATTGAATTGTTTTACTCTTAAGAGCATCCTGGAAAAGGGTCTGTTCTGTTTTTTCTCAAAACAAACTGTATTTTGCGATCCATATCTTCATTATAGATGGCTTTACACTTCTCGAAATTGACCCTGCGACGTGTCTGGAATTGAGAAGTTGCATTATAATTTTCCACTTTGGTATACCATTTAGTCACTTTGTATCTTAATATTACTAAATTAATTTAACTTTATGCAAAGTTAAAGTATTTGGGAATGATGGTAACAAAATTACGTTCACAAAGAAATGAAGGGCAGATTAAATTCAGGGAATGCTTGCTATCATTCAGTCCAAAATCTTTTGTCTTCTTGTCTCATTAAAAAATTAAAGGTTAAAATATACAAACTTGGTCTCTTGCGAGGGAGGAACATAGATTGAGGGTCTTCGAGAACAGTGTTGAGAAGGTTATTTGGACCTAAGAGAGAGGAAGACAGATCATGGAGAAAATTTCATAGTGATGAGATTCATGGTCTGTACTCCTCACCTGATATTGTCAGGGTGATTAAATGGAGGAAGACGAGGTGGGTGGGACATACAGTATGCATGGGGGAGGGGTGTTTACAAGTTATTGGTTGGGAGGCCTGAAGAGAGAAGACCACTGACCACTGGAAAGACCAAGGTGTAGGCAGGAGGATGACATTAAGATGGACCTTAGGGAGATATGCATTTGTATGAGAATTGTCACAGTCAAAATTAGAATTTATTCTGTTTATCATGATTCCTTCACCTGCTTCTTTTTGCATTACCTGATGTGGTTTCTCGTAGTAACGTGTTCGCCGATATTGGTCGAATATGCCTTCCTTGCCTAAAATCCTGTTAAAAGAAATAGATATTACTTCCAACAGAAAAACCAAAATCTGTACTTGATATGTTATACCTGTAGTAATGAAACTGAGCATTAACTGGTGGAAGAATTATGAAAAATAGTTACTTAACAGCCAGAGATTTATGCTCAATTCTCAGTAGTGGTGAAGTCCTCCTGGTAACCTTATCACTTCATAGTCTGTCTAGTATCAGGCTATGCGGGGATTGCTTAGAATATTAACTACATAAATTGTACATTAAAGGATGGTCATGGTAACAACAGCGATGCCACGCAAATCCTGGGAAAATACCTTAAAACAGGTAATGTTATTTTCCCTGTTTTTCAATAGTCCTAAAATGAATTCAACTTATTCTGCCGGAAGTGGGAAAGAATATATAGGTATTCATAGTTTTAAACGTTACCTATTTAACAGTCTAGTGGCTTCTTCTACATTTCCATTTCTAACCAAAACTGTGCGCGCAATAAAATATTGATGTCGTAAACCCATTTTACTGGGTGCACATAACCTCCACGGTTTTCTGTAACATGGATTACTGTATAGTAATTAGTATTATCTATGGTATGTATCATTCTCTGTGCTTTCAGTGTTGTCATCAGTCCACGTTGGACTTCTCTTAGTAGGAGGTAAACTTCCCCACACACGCAGCCAGTGGATTACATTACCATTAGTCAAATTTTGAAATCTTTTTCAGACAGATGTAATGTTTAAAAGATTTAAAGTTTCCACAGCGGTGAGGATTATAATACTGTTCTTCTGCAAGTGCCGTGTACATTCATCGGCAGCATTGCCGACAAGTCTACACGACTCCGAAACCCAGAAGAAGAGCATCCATCGTCAGGAAAAATTGTTTCCATGACAACGAGTCAGTTGTGTTCCAAATTTCTGATAAAACCCAAAGGCCGGATACTTAGATATGTTATTTGTAGTAAAAGGAATATAAATACAAAGTAAAGCATTTATTTACAAGCAATTTTGATAGTGTAACAGAGCTTTAGAATGGATTTGTATTAGAAGTTTTCATTGCAAGCGCATTTAATCACAACTGCAAGATTGATTCTACACATTCGCTTTATATTAAGGTAGATTTTTCTCGGATTGTGTAGCAGCGAATGAGATGTGTTACGATATTTGTCGAGTGGTGTGTGAAGTGCGTTATATAGTATAAAGTGAAAACGAGTTATTAAAGAAACGGGCGTATCGTGCATTAAATTCTGTCTGAAAGCGTGGTGACAATATTTCATTGTGCCATGTGTAGAATTGATATCTGCCAATTTTTTGTAGAACAGAATGCGTTGTCATACAGTTATAATACTGTGTTCTACGAAATGGACTGTCATCGGTTGTTATATGTCAATGTCTGAGTAACTTAATGCATATTGCGTATGCTTTTCCAGTTTCGGCACATTTAATGCTATGATGCTTTGTCACAATTACATGGCAATGAAGATCACAAATGTTTATATTACATAATAATATTTGATCCCATACTCATTGCTTTTATAATTCTAATTGGAGTTGTTACTGTGGTAGCACTGATAATAAGATGTATGTAGGATGATGGCGGAAGGAGGTTGGATTTTGAATGTGTGCACTAGATACGATCTGTAGGTGTAACCGCCCGCGATGTTTGAGACTAGTGTGATGAAATTAAATTTGTTTGCTTTTCAGTCGTATTATATAGCCGTCCGCTTTCATAGTTGACATGGGCAAAACAAATATAATGAAATTTATAACTCTTAATAAGTTTAGAAAGAGTGAACAATTGTAAATAACCAAGAACATGAAGATTGCTGTCTTCTGGGTTGTTGTGCCCTGTAGTCTGGTAAACTATTACCATACTATACGGCGCAACAACCCAGAAGACAACGATCTTCAGACTCTCCACCGTGAAAACCTCAAATCCTACAACCAAGAACATGTGTGATATGGAACTTTGATGGTAACTAAGTATAATAAATTCTTCTCAGGCTACCGGCCGTGTGAGGTGGTTCAAAGGCGAAAATCCAACGTTTCTTCATCCTTATCTTAGGTTACTGAAGTCACTTCAGTACTTTCAACCTCCTGACACTACTGGCAGCCTGAGAAAAATTTCAAACTAATTTTGCTGTACAGAGTCAACTTACTTTGTATGTATTTAAAATTGTTGGAATTGTTGGAAGAAGTGAGAAGAACAAGAAAGCTGTATATATTACAGATTTATTATTGTCATTTTCAAGATCAGCGTGCCCAGTTTAAGAAAGCATATTTAATCTATGTTATCAACAAGAAACAATTTTGTTTTCCATTGTAATTAGACAGGCTCATTATAAACTGCAAAAAAAAAAAAATGAATGGATGTGTGATTGTCTCCAACCATGCTAACAAATGTAATTTCTTTTTTCACTTTTAGGAATCATTTTATAATGGATAAGGAATTTAAATTTAAATCTGTAGTCACATCAGAACAAACCAACTCAAAAGTAAAGAAAAGGAAGAGATGTAAGTATCTATGAGACTTCATTAATGAATATTCTGAAGTTTGTCCATATGAAATTAACTGACAGAATAATTCAACTGTCAACTACCAGCATTTTTCAACTTTAAATGTAGTTTCTCATTTTTAATCATATATTTTAAGATGTCATTTTCGGCTTTGCACGATCCGATCTATTGGTGGTCCTAGGAGCTACATGTTCTGCTATATAATAACACAAGGATTGCTGATCAGAATTTCATGAAATTTGGTATGTGGTTATACCATTAGATGCTAGCCTGTAGTAGTGCTTAACTTCCTACAATTGATAATAGATGTTTAGAGTTGTAAGGTAGGATAATGACACCATTACCCATCATCCTCTCTGCATGCATAATGACATCACATTACCCGTAGTGATGTCACTGTGCATCTGATGTGGCATAAAGAACACATTTTCAATTTTAGTGTAGTCCGAAGAGTACAAATTACCAGTCATTTTCTTTGTGTGTGTTTGTGATGAATGTGGTTAGATTACTGATTCTGAAAAAAACTCAAATCTTTTCCTCAAAATTCCCAACTACAAGTTAGAATGATGTGATGGTACATTGTAATCTACTACAGTAACATTTTAATATTCCGAACATCTTAGATTGAAGTGTGTATTTTGTTTGTGGCAAATTTGAACTATAAGTCATGTTATATTGTGTGTCTGATAAGCTGAAGCACAAATTGAACAGTGGGATACCATACGGCGGCAGAGCACAACTGTTGAGGACAAGGATATAAATATAGAAGGAGTGGTGCGTCTTACTTTGTCTGTGGAGATGCAAAATCTTCTGGGATGCGTGATTGGTCAACACGTTTCATCCGAAATGCCTTGGACCGCCGTAAAAATGAAACAAGTACAAGAAAATCTAATTTCAGAGAATGACAAATCTGAGCTCTTTGCAATTAAGGAATCACTAATGGTAATTTACAATAATAAAAATAGTTTGTTTATTTTATACCAATGCACAATAAAAATATTAAACAACTTATGAATTATAATTTTGTGTTATTACAATTTTATTTTATTTTTGTTAGAAATTTTCAGGTACAGAAATTTTAGTAGGCTACATATTCTGTGCTGAGAAACCAAATCAGTTCTACATCTGTACTACAGAAGATGCCAGAAAATCTGTCGTTCAGATGATTGTAAGGAATAGAGCTGAAAGAGAAAGGCGAGTGCACAATTGTATCTACAGAAGTAGCCGGGAATGGATTTCATTGGGCAGTGAAAAGGAAATTGAGGATAGCCAACCTAAGCATGCACGCCCCTTAGTGAGTATTTGTGGTCTATAATTTCAGAATGTTAATTTTATTTAAGAATATTATTGGTATAAAGTAATTCTGGTTATTAGAGTTTGGTCTGAATCCTCTAAAAGAGCTTTTCTCAACCTTTGGTACACGTACCACTGGTGGTACGCGAACTAAGTAAGAAAATCAAAAGATAATATTAACATAAATAAGTTTTCCCTGAACGCATTTGGTTGGTGGTACATACATCATACATCTTTATTACATTCCATGGATCCATAAGTTAGTCAGATGACAATAGGATGTAGAATAAGTCATACATTTAATGTGTTAAACTAGAATTAGTGGTATGCCAGCGAAAATGGGTGAGAACCCCTGCTCTAAAAGCTTCAGTCTATGAGGGTATTAAGTGTGAACAATTACCCTTTTCAGGCCCAGCGACAGCTCTAGCCTAGTCGTCACTGAAAATAATGGCCAGTGGCCCATTGTTGACTACATTTGTAGCTACAGACATCATGTGGGCTGGCAGCCCAAAGTTTTGCATGCTATTTTACATGTTTGGAATTACATAAGTTTTTAAAAAGTTTCTGTTTCTTGTCCAAGAAACAGAAGGTGTTGTCACGTTGCTTTGCCAAGTAAACTTTTGTGTCGTATGTGTATCCCAGTGAGTCAAAATTTATACAACTTTATACCAAACTGTTTCCTTTTCTTCAGAATAAACTGGCAGTAACCAACTTGGCTTGATTTTGCAATCACTTCGTCTATTACAAGGTGCTTGCTAGGATTGTGTATGCCTCTTAATTTCCGCAGCCTGATGTAATCATCTCCTTTCCTGTCAAGAGCATTACCACACTTTTAAAATGTAGAAACTGGAATATATGCAAAATGTGGGAAGGTAAATTTCTTTATTAGTGCCAGAAATGTACATTTAGTAATTTGGAATTTTGTTCGTTTCAGTTTGAAATTCAAACATGGATTGCGGTTGATCGCTTGAAACAGCCAGTAGCGTTCCAGGATCGCGATGTGGATGATATGCGGGACGGCTATGTAAACTTTGACTCTTTGCATCACAAGTATGTGACTGTGATGAGAAAAAGAACTGATGTGGCAATTCAGGTAATGCCTTTATTTGCTGTCTCAGGCAGAGTAATTAATTAATATCTTAGAAAGTGATTAAATCCCTTGATTATCGTGCAGTGATATGCATACAGCCCCTTATTTATTTTTGTGTAGTCCTCAAAATGAACAGTTCAATAAAATCATGTTTCCATTGCAGTGTAAGGCATTTTCAGTTTAAAGTAGAATTTTTATTCAAGAACTATCAGTGCCCTCTGGATATTCATGTTAGGAAGAGTAAGGGGCTATCAGGTAGAGTCTTTACCAGAAAATGGTACCATTGTGGTACCACTCCACACCTACTCTCTATCCAACATTGTTTGATTTATTGTTACTAGTCTGCCAATTGATTGGGATGCCTGAAGGTAGAAGACCGCTGGGGAGACCTAGATGTAGATGGGGGGATATCAGGCAGTATCTATGGGAGATAAGAGTTGAAGGTGGTCAGATTTTGCTGGACTAGGACAGTGACTGATGGAGGGCTTTGGTTAGTTTGATGATGAACCTTTGGGTTTCCTAAGCCATCTAGTTAGCCTGTCAATTGGAAAATATTGCTTAATCACCCAGGTTAACAAAAAGAGTTCATTCTATCAGTGAATATTTTAAAATATTTATTTATTAATCTGTAGTTTTTTATAGCTCTTTTCCTTTGCAAGTGCAAGGATGGCACCTTAAAATAAACCATGAACATCTATTTCCAAATGTTGGACATTTTCATGTCTTGTTTGATCGGTAGCAGGAATATTATTAAAATTCCAGGAATAAATTGTTCTTTGAACAACTGATTTTGTCTTTAATTTAAATTAATAAATCGTGAATGTATGTTAGATGTCATCATCATTGTCAGGGATTAGGCAGTAATGCCTGTTCCGGCTTCAAATTGATCTTTCCATCTTCTTCGTGGTTGACCTCGATCTCTTTTTCGCTAGGTTTGTAAGTGAACTCAGCTTTAGGAAGTCTTTCTTCAGGCATTCGTTCAACATGTTCTTTCCATTTTCATATTCATGTTATATGTAAATTTTGTTATTACAACCTGTTTCAGGCAGTTCCTGAGGAGGAATTTTCCATAGCACAGACAGTTCTGTCGCTTCCAACAAATATGTGGACCCAGTACGAGTTTCATGTGGAAATTCAGAAGTGTATTGAAGATGAAGATTTAAACAGGAGCATGAAACAGTTCTTACATGAGAAATCACCACAGTATGTTCATAAGTAGAGTGTTTTGCTTTGTTTAGGACTACTGACTGATTTTTTTTTTTATAATTATTCCTGAGTCTCATAAGGTAAACAATTGAGTTATCATCGTAAAGAGCTACAGCCCATTTCCTGCCGGTTATAACGTAACAGATTAAATGGCGGTATAACAATCCTTAGAGGCTCTCAGATGGCATTAACAGTTCCAATCCAGTGGTGGTAGTTTTACTGCCTAAGTCACTTTGCCAAGATGGTTATGGTAGTAACGGTATTATTCTTATGTTAAAAAATTATAGATAAAGAACTACCTGTTTTATTGACTAGAACTTTTCACAGGTCAGCAGCTAAAAGATTCTAGTTTTAATGGATTCCAGCCGAGTTCATCGCCTCATGACAAAACAAATGCCAACTCTGTAAAGCTGAATCGTGAATATATGTAGCAGCTGTTTTAAAAATGAGTAAACAGATTAATCAAATGTCATAATGAATTATTCTCGGGTCACCAGCCGTGTCAGTTGGTTTAATTGAGAAAACACCAATGTTTCGAGAACCATCTTTGTCGTCGTCCTCAGGGCACTGAAGCTGACATTGGTGTTTTCTCATTTAAACCACGAGACACGGCCCGTAGCTTCAGAAGAATTTATTATACTTAGTCTCGCCATGAAAGCTTCAGATTATAATCAAATATCACTTAGTCACTGTAGCGTTGAATTTTATTCTGAAGCATCACATTTAAGAAGATAATACATAAAATAAACACAATTTTTAACTTTATTTCATGCAACATTTTGGTCAAAGTAACAGTGTTTTATATTCAAATCCAGTGCATTTTTCTCATAAGGTCATAGTAATATAATGACCCAATCCTGAATTTGATGGAAAAGATACGATACAAAATACCGATATAAAAATGTTTATTACAAATTTTAATGTTGAAGGGCTTATATCCCATTTCTCTTAATTTCCAGGATGGCAGACGTTGTTAGATATAATAGTGTATTTGATCTGCACAGAGATGATTATCCTAATCTGGTCACGGCTGAAGAGGATGTACAAGCTCCTAAAAAGATTATGTACACTGAATACCAGTCATTTATGGATGTAAAAATTTGCAGAGGAAAGGTAATCTCTGCTGCAGCATGGCATCCAATGTGGACAGGTAAATCATCATCACACTGATACCAAATGGCCATCAGTTTGAATCCCACTCATGCTCATTATCATCTCTCATGGTCTAAGTCCTCCACTCAGGCACATATTGTCTGCTTCAACTAGTTTCTACAGAAAAATTATATTCATTGATATTTAAACCTAGTCATAAACAAGTCGGGATATCTCAATCAGTATAGTGTCTAGCTACACACTGGATGACTAGGGTTCAATCCCCGATGGGGGCAGAGGATTTTTCTTCTAGTCTCTGCATACAGACCGGATTTGGGGCCCACCCAGCCTCCTATCCAATGGGTACCAGGGTCCTTTCCCGGGGGTAAAGCGCAGCCGGGGCATGATGCTGTCCACTCACCCATATCTAGTGCCGAGGTCAAGAATGAATAGGAGCTATACCTCCACTCCCCCCAAACGACCTACATGGCGTGTAGCAGGACTGCTTTTACTGAACATTCTAAAGATGTGTAACTTCAGCTTTTGGTGGTGATTTGCATCAAATGTTGAGAATTATCCAGTGTTGGATAATTCTCAACATTTGACGTGATTCGTCCCAGGAAGCCGAAGTTACACATTGAACTCCAGCTGCACAAACCTACGGACTAAAATTCTAAAGACCTCTTCAGGTTGAAACGCGTTTGGCAGTAAGTGTCTTTTCAAGTGTAAACAGTTTTGTTTGTATGCGTGATTTTATATATTGATGCATTTGTGTATGACACCATAGGGATACATGGATGATTTTTGGTAGGTGTTGTGGCTTGCTCATACATTGATAATCATCAAGAGAATGATGATGTAAGCCTGCAGGATGTGTTTTCTATGAACCCAGTACTGATCTGGAGCTTTATGGATACACTGAATCCTAGAGTAAGTACACATAGGAGAACTTTATGTAATCTAGATTTTTTTGGGCATTTTAATAACAAAACAACAAGAAAATTGTGTCAGGCTGATCACTCATCCAAGGAGTCCTACCGTTGTCCAAACAGATCAATTAAATGAATAAATAAACTTCGACACCTACTGGTAAAAGAGGATATAGAGAAAGAAAGAAAGAACAACGAGAAAATAAGATGTCGAAAGTAGTTAATTAATTTACTATCACATATTTAGTTTTTGCTGTACTGTTGTTAAGTATTGCTCATTTAAGTGCAAAGTTTTAAGGATCTGTTGAGCTTTTTCTCAACTCCACTATTCCATCATGGCATGATGCTTAGACACAAATACAATTTGTCTTACTTTATTTCAAGTATGATTATAAGATATGTAAATTCCATCAATTGCCATCTCTGCATTGTAAGGTTCTATAAGTTAACTGATGATTTTGTTTATGTTGTAGCTAGTACTCGGAAGTCCACGTAAAGTTCACGCACTACAGTTCTGTCCGTATAATGAGAACTTGCTGGTTGGTGGCTGTAATAATGGTCAGGTTGTGGTATGGGACCTCTGTGATAGACTGAAGAAAGTTGAAGAAGAGGTTTCGCTCTCATCAACGAAGTTAAAGTATCATCTTGCACTGGTGAATGTAACAGACCTTATTGGTATTTGTTCCCTGACACTTTCTCTAGATTAGACCTTATCGTGAGTCATCACCTTGACCTTTCTGCTGCCATCTTGGTAGCATCCTTCTTGATGTGATATTAAGTTGTACCTGTTACAGTCATGTTAAGTGCAGTAAAAATGTTATCTGTAATGAATAGGAAATACTAATATAAAAATATTCCCTGCTTGGTTATTTGTTTCAAATATAGATTTATTAAGTTTTCAACCCCATAGAGAATTTTTGGTGCCTGAATTTATAACTTGTGTTGGGCAAGGCCGTGGTCTAGGCAACTCAGAGTTTTCCTCCGGGGGCTTCCCCGGTTTCTCCGTGGCATCCCAACAATTACTCCATACACACTGAAGAAGGCAATGGCAAACCACTTCTGTATCACCTGCCTAAAAAACATATATGAACAGGTCCCAGTCCGAGAAAAGGATGGAAGGATCCTGTTCATAATATGTCACCAACCTCCTGTAAAGGAGACGGCGTAATAAAGAAGAAGAAGAGAATTTTTAATGAGTACTTTAAGTCTTCTGTCTGCAGTTGTCGAGGTAGTTTCAACACCCAACTGGCTCTCTGCAGAGGTTCAAGGTTTCTCTGAAAAGTTAAGGATGCATTCCATATTTTATTTTGGAACAGCATTCCATAGAGACATTTTCACTGCTAACACAGTTTAAGACATTTGTGCCATTGCTTCTTTGATTTAGTTTTCGGGTGACCATCATAGAAAATATGCCGACATATAACACAGTGCAATGTCTTGCGGTTGGAAAGGAATGTGGGCATCATATCCATTGCTGGATTTGAACATTGATTCCTCTGAATGGAAAAGAAACCTGGAGACTTGTGTTACTAAATAGAATAAACACATTTAATATTTGGTTGAATATCAAAATTATTTTATACTTTGTATATTAATATTTTTATATGGTCAGTTCATCAGTAACTTATGATTTTGTTATTCCAGCGTGATCTGATGGGTTGGATGAGGCCCACAGCCAGTGATCGATTCGTGAGTCCAGTGTTAATATCCTCACTTCAATTCTCCCCCATTAGCTGTATAAAGGACATCAAATGGTTGTCTCCATATTATGAGGTAATACAAATCAATGCATAGCTCTTGGATTATTTGTCATGCTTAACGTTGGGTGACGGTCCTATGAAATTATTACGGGACAGTTAAGAGAGTGACTGCTACGTAGCCTATCTGTGTATTGCACTGTTAGGTGTGCTCCATCTGGACTTGAATCACCCAAGCGTACTGCTAAAGTAACCGTCTATAAAGTCATTCAATAACAGTTGTGATACTGTAATTTTGTTCACTTGTGTATAAAATTTTAAGTTTTTCTTTCTGTGATTTATGGATCATTATTGACCATATGAAGGCTATTTTTACTGAGAAATTGTCAAGTTGTAGTCGCATGGTCATGACATAGAAGGAATACTAAAAGTTGCTGAAATAAATAATGCGTCATTCATGTGATTGTACTTTTCTGGTGGTGAGGGCTTATGGGGTGGGTGGGTTGGGGGGGATATGGAAACTGACCTAAATCATGTGTTTGTTGTTTGCTACATCTAGTGTTTGGATTCTGCTGATGGTTTTGAATGAGATGGCAGATGATCCCGTTGGGGAGGGAGGGAGTGTCACAGCACTGTTAAAAAATTTTAATGTAGAAACTGACATACATTATGTGTTTGAAAGTTATAGACAGATATACACATTTTCTCAATATTAATGTAATACCATTCATCACTAGTTAAATCCACAAGTTAAATTATGGCCACGACTCCAGTAGTTTGGGCATTTAAAGCCCTAAAATATGATAGAGGATAACAAAATTTGTGTCATAGTTTACTTCTGTGAAGTGAATTTGAGTACAACATACCATTACGGGGGTTCTGAAAATGTTAACTTTTCTCTTTATTTTGTACGTATACTTTTTTGAGGTTTGAAATACTGGATCTTGGTGGATAAAAGAAAGGTTTTGAATATTTGCCACTTTTAAAACAAAATAAGATAGAGACAGCATTCTTTTCAGGAGTTAAACATACTTTTAGTTGTCGATGTTGGTCTTCTTGGTTGCAACACTGTGTGGATTTACCTAAAAATCTATATTGCATTGGAACCCAAAAGAACGAGAATGTCTTCACCACCATGTGAAGCTCAAATTTCATACTTTAATTTTTCTCAGATATCTCATCTTGGAAGATACGAAGAACATAAACCAAACCAGCCAACAGTACTGCAGTTCCTTACTTGCTCAGAAGATGGCTCAATATGTGTCTGGGACCTTAATGCCCAATGGAATAGAAAGCCTCCAGAGAATAAACCCAAAAAGAGACACTATAAATTTATAGCTTGTGAGAGCGATGTTTTGGCAATTTTCAAACCACATTACAAGGTAATTTGTTAACTCAGATATAAAGAGTTTTAAGATTAATCTTGCATAATGATACTGTGTTGACTGAATTTCTGTGACTCAGAAACTCAGAATAGGAACTAGTGATGGGCTATTTTGAAAATTGTAATGAACCAGTAAATTCTATAAAACGGAAATTTTTTTGATCAATATTATATTAGATTTTGAAGGACTTTGCTACATGTAGTTGGTTGGCTGTAATGACACATATGGGTTGACAAAATTTTGTATAAAAGTCTGAAATACCAAAAACCATAAAAAGTAAAGCAAAGTTGTCCCACTATATGCCATGTGGGTGCTTGGTGGCAGAGGAGGTCTAGCTCCTACTCATTCTTAACCTTGGCACTAGAGTGGGGGGAGTGGTTAGCGTCACGCCCCAGCCGCGTTTTACCCCTGGGAAAGGGCCCCGGTACCCTTTGTACAGGAGGCTGGGTGGACCTCCGAGCCGGTCTGGATGCATAGGCTAGAGGAAAGATCCTCTGCCCCTGTTGGCGATAGAACCCCAGTCGCTATAATGACTGAGCTACATCGGCTCATATTTATCCAAATACCATGATCCCCTAAATAAGATATACACCCCAGGTTTCTATCAGTTTTAAGGAAAAAAAATATATTTTTGAGTAAAAATGCTGTTAAAGATAAGAAAGTAATACATAATAGTATTGTGGCCTTTTCTACTCTAGAAAGCTACGTAATCATGTATGATCACCGGTGAAACCACAATAGCATGAAAAATTCATAAAAGTATAATAATATGCTTACATAGACTGGTGTACTTCACTGAAGTCTAAATTGGTCTCATCATCATTAGTGCCCCGAACTATGATCATGATACTTTTGAAATGCTCACATTTTTCTTTGTACACTTTAGGAAGTCTTTGTGCAATATATGCTTAAACTTGGTTTCTCACATTAAAGGAAGAAGACAGATTGATTGATGATAATATTTTGACTAAATGGGATAAAGTGTTAAGAGGGTGGAGAAAGTTACACAGTAAAGAGCTTCATAATTTATACGCCTCACCAAATGTTATTAGCATTATCATATCAAGGATAATGAGATGAGCAAGGCATATAATATGTATTGCCCCTTTTGTAGTACTGTACCAACATGTTCTTGAAGGGACAGATGATAATGATGAAATATGATCTCTTGCCTAAGATTTTCAGCCAGTGAATTTCAAAATAAAGGGAATTAGTTCTGAAAACGGGGTCCGCAGTGGCCGCATGGGCCTTTTGCTGTTTGGTCACTGGGACTGTGGGTTCGAATCCCACTCAAGCCATGGATGTTTGTCCGAGTTTTTCTCTGTTGTGCTGTCCTGTGTACAGGTAGAGGCCTTGTGACGGGCCGATCCCTCATCCAAGGAGTCCTACCGAATGTCTATAGATCAAGCCAACAAAAAGTTGGGACCCACAGTGCTCAGACACTTGAAGAATGGGTCGTCCCAGTATCCCTAGTTCTGATAACTCAACATTTGATATTTGGTGTAAACTTTAAATCCTGGAGATGGCTGTGTAAAAATTGAAATGTGCCGTTTATTTAAATTCTTTATTGGAACTAAGAGTCTAGTTTTTATTGCTATTAATTTTTTTCATATAGACAGTTAAAAAATGTTCAATAATTCTTTCGGTTAGCACACGATAAATAAAATCTGTTTGTGAAACAAAGTGAATTGTGAAACACAAGCACTGAATAATTATAACCGTATTTCAGTTTGTTGCTGAAATCCCTGTATCGAAACGACGCATGTCCCTTTCAGTGATTGCAGTTGAAGCATTTCCATTAAGGTACATGCTTCAGACAGAAACTGACTTTGCTGGGAAGCTCAGTATGACAGAAAGGCTTTATTACAAACCAGGTAAATGTACTAGTATAGTTATTTGATAGCCCTTAATATGAAGTCATTGTAACAATGTATACACATGTATGTGTGTGAGAGAGAGAGAGTGTGAGTGAGGGTGTCAGGATCTTCTTCTTCTTCTATGGCTCTCCGGTCCGTATTCGGTCCATGGCCTCCTCAATTCTCCTCTTCCATTCGGTCCTCTGTTAGGTCCATCTGTCCGAGGTTTTGATTGAGGTTTCGAAACATCTTCCTTTTTATGGTGCAAGGTTGTTAGCCTTGTGACCAACCCCCAACCTGGAGGACCAGGGTACCTGTCTTAGTCTGACCAGGATAGTACCTTAAATCAGGTCACAACCGTCTCTTTCGACACTCTAAGATACTGAAAGCATCGTGATATGAACTGTAAATGAATAAATAAATCATAGGTGTGACAGAGAAAACATTTAGATTAATCTTTATTGTCTGTGTGTTGTGTCATATGTGTGGTCCCTCTGGCCATGCATCACACTAATAAATGACTAAGCTATTAACTTGGAAATTGGCACCAGACCCATAATATGTGGATTTACATCTGCTCTTCCCACAATAAAGGTTAAAAATGGTTATTCAGTAGAACATACTGAGATAATCACAAAGCAGTGCTGAACAAATTTTCACCGCTATTAGGTATTTTGTGAATTATTGTTAAATAGTTAAAAATACCTCACTTGAGAAACATTGAGCTAAGGTATTACCATTTTGGTCCGACATTATTTCGGCAGAGACCTCTCTACCCTTCTGCAATAAATACGTAGAATAGGTAGACGCGCAGTTGGGCACAGATTTAATTCTTCTAAAGTGAAGTTAATGGAAGGTGTGATTTCAATTGACTAGTGGAGTTTTCATATAGAATTTATGAAACACTGATTATTACTTCCTACAGATAATATAATGTCACATTTTCCAGAATTTCAGAAAGTAAAATGGTACCCAGAAATGAAAATGTACGTTGGGTCTATGGAAGGTCAGGTGGTACAAGCTGCATGGGAAGGTTATGAATTTAACTCTGGAGAGAATATTCATGTGGAGGGTGAGTGGTAATATTTATTGTCTATATATAAATGAAATACCATTACTCTAAAGGACTTAGAGTATTCATTTATTGATTACACTTAAAACTGGTAACACTGTGTAACAAATTACAAATTATACTGTCATGTCTGTATAGTATTACTGAATTTGGGATTCTGAACTTTCCTAATTTTGTGTTTTGGAATCCTAGAATTATCTTAATTTCATTTTGTAGACTAGATAATTTTGACATTACATTTCATTACATTCAGCTACCTTCCTTTCATTGTATTTATTGCTTAAATATAATTTAAATACAGAGACATATTTACGTCAGATTCTCCGGAACCGTGGTTCCACTGTCAATTTTTTATTGTTTAATGTTTTTATTTAGAATTATTGAATTATATTACTTAGGTATCATATTTAGCCCATTTACTTGTGAAATATTATTCAATAAGGTAAATTATATATTTAGTTTCATTTGTTTGTTTGTTTTTGTATTTGTAATGTTTTGCTTTTATTATTATTGTGTTTTATCAGCGCTTTGTGTTACCATATTCTCATACAGCATCATGATCATTTTATTAAAAAGAGAGAGATGTGTTCCACACAGATGAATATTTGAGGTGAATTTCTTTAATCAAAATTAATTCAGAACTCAGAAGTTATTAACAATGAGTTTTGTTGTAGCACTCAAATTCAAATCATGGGGTGACGAACATGATGGTCCAGTATCAGCAATATCCCTTTCTTTATTTAATAAGGACTTGATCCTTAGTGTTGGAGGATACATTATTGCTGTCTGGAGAGAGAGTATTAAGGTATGGAATCCTCTTTCCTCATGCTTGTATTTGTGCATGAAGTTTATAATGGTAGAGACCATCACAATTGACAGTTTGTTTACTGTACATTAATTGTAAAACGAATTTTTTTTAAAAAATACTCTACTTCATGATTTATTTTCTAAACCATTTTGATTAAATGAATTAATTTCCCTGTTGCCACTGATGATGACCTCTTGAGGTTGAAACGCGTTTGGCACTAGTGTCTATTTATAGTGTTAATAGTTTGTTTGTTTGCTTATTTTATGTAAAACCAATTGCTAATATATTACTGTCATATAAGTATCTTCTTCAGGATGAACCAGTCTTGTGGAGAAGGTCGTGTGTCATGCTGACCAGTGGGGCTTGGTCTTTGTTTTGTCCCAGTATGTTCTTCATCGCTCGTGTAGACGGTGTCTTTGAAGTTTGGAATTTTCTTGTACGGAGTGACAAGCCAATACTGGTCCAAAGCATCTCAGGAAGTGCACTCACAGGTGTATAAGAAATACTTTTATGTTAAAAACATTAAAATTACTACTTCACTTTTCATCCAAAATAAAATCAAAGAAGTAAACCTGAAAGTTTGAAATTGAACGCTCCATGTGAATCTTTACGTTTGCGGGTTCAAATCCGGTCAAGGTCGATGGATTTTTAAATGTGATAGTAATCTGTAGCACAACTTCCTTTGGAGGGGAAATAAAGCCGGTGGTCCCACATCGTAGATTTACGGCATGAAAAAGAACCTTACGAGCATGAACTAGGTGTTTCGTAAGCAAAATTCAGCGGTCATTTTTCACCCATGTCTCCTTATTCTCGACTAGATGGCTCTAGCAGACAAAATCAAGATTGAGTAGAAATTGTGCAGAGGCAGTGGGCTGGTCACTCACTGCTCACAAATGCACGCTTCAAAGACTAGGAAAACCTCCAAAAAGAGGCAGCCAAGACCCACACTGGGTTGAAGAGCCACAGGAGGAAGAAGAATATATGAATCTTGACATTATTAATTCAAAATTTACTTCACATGAAGTGACTTAAGTAGCTATTTCTGACACAATACTGTGTTCTTCAGTAGTTCTTTACGTTCCCCGACCAAGGAAGATGTCTGATTGCTTTTTTATAATGCAGTTCACTAAGCTGGCTCAGAATCGGATTATTAAAGTAGTTTATTGTGGAACTAATTTAATCATACCAAGATGTGAACATTGGTCTTCTCACTGTTTCCAGTAAAGATGATTCTGGCATCATAAAGGCAAACTGGAAGTATCGCACTCTTGTTCTGTTGTTAGGTATATATCCCAGCAGACTTGGACCCATGCAGAACGTCATAGGCTTTACTGACATCGGTGGTAATTTCCGTGTTTTCTTAATGCCCCAGGAACATGTGATAAGTGATCCAAGAAATGTAAGTAATGCAAATTTGGGGTTTCATTGTGTACTAAAAGTAAAGTTTGGTTTCAGTACCAAATTTTGTTTTATGCTGACAGACATGTACGTATCTGATATGTTTACTTCCACAACACTGAGAGCTGAAAGATATCAGTATACAGTGAAACCTCGATGCATCGTTTTCGGCGGGGGTGGGAAATAAAAACGATGAATGCGGGAAAACGATAGATGCGGGAAAGCATTAAAAATTTAAAAAAAAACAATGTTTCTCTTTCAAAGTTACTTCTTTTTACCAAAAAAGTCTTTAATGGACAACTGGTTTGTCGAAACTTTACGTTTTAGGCCAAACAGAGCCCTTTCCACGTTCAAAATGTTTTCT